AAAAAGGACTAAATTTAATGCATGAAATTTGAAATTTGAGGCGGCCATTGGACTTCAAATTTACATAGATATGTTCTTCTACTAACACACACTTTTCAGCCAAGACATTTTATGCAATAAACGTTTATTTTGTGCACTAATTAATGTGATTGTTCGCTGACAAGTTAGGATGACAAATAAAAAATAAAAATTTCAGTCGTCCTTATTGCGGGTAAAGTTGGGATAGTTGCAAAATTAAGAATATCCCTAATTTTATCCAATTTTTATTTAGAAATCATTGCTTGAAAGTATTATCACGCCGCTTTCTTGCCTTTTACTCTTTATATTCGAGGTAACAGACTAAAATGTAACTAAAAATAATAAACTAAATATGGGTAATAGACATTGTAGAGACTAGAGAATCGTCAAGTTTGAGAACAGAGACAACGACCAATGACATCTGATTTTATCATTAAACGGACATATTATTTTTGTAAGGATTTTTTTTTTAAAAAAAAAAATATTTCTTTTTTAAAAATAACATAAAGAAAAATTTATAAATATGCATTTCTATTCCCAAAATATTACTTACATTCCTATAATTCTTTTTTCTGTTTTTTCATGCAAATTTTATGGTCTACACACATTTCCATTTTCCATTACGATTTATGCAAGACTATGAGTTTTGTATATTTACCTTGATATGGACCTTGAGTTTTTCATATTATTAAGGACCTCGCATTAACAAATAAATACACTCATTTTTATGTGTGTTCGTATTTGCTTTTTGTTTGTTTAGTTGAAAATTTGATAAAAACACGTGAGTCATGTTTCAAAAAACCTATTTGAAAAGGATCTTTATATCTATCGGATTTATATAAAATGGTCCCAACTAGCATTTGGTTATAAAAATAAGTAAATCCTCGCGTGAGACAGTTTAGGGGGTGATTGAATATGAATTTAATTAGTAAAAAACTAGGTTTTTATTAATTATAGTTAAGTTTGAAAAAAAATGGCTGGTTAGTTGTTAGTGGATATATTAAAATAATATTTAAAATAAAATAATTAAAATTAATTTGATGTGAAAATAGGAAAAAATGATTGGAAGTGATATATAGTTAGTTAAAATTATGTGAGTAGATGAATAGTGAATTAAAGTTGATGTGATGTGTAAGAATGATTGATTGATATTATTTAATTATATTGATAATATTGAAGATAATGTAGTTGAGTTAAATTTGAGTTTTGATTGGTTTTTTTACTATACAATTTGTATACAATCGTCCCCTTAATAATTAGATGGGTCAGATATTTCAAACATTTATTACAAAAGTGTATATTATGTTATGAAAATGTAATACTTTTATTTATTTTATTTTTTCGAGTACTACTTTAGTTTGAAATTATGACTGCTACCAGTTAGACCTGTTTAATAGTAAAAAAAGAAATTATTCTACGTTATCAATGAAGATTTTATAGGTCAACATTTATATTAACAATGTATATATCTTTTTCAAAATAGTATTCATTAATGTACATTTATTAGTTTGGGATTTTAAGAGATATTTTAAAAAGAATTTAAATTTGAGATTTCGAGATTCAAGAGGACTTTTTGAAAATCTTAAGCGTGGATGTATGATTTTGAGTAAGATTTCGTATAACATTTTTATTTATGAAATTTCAGCAAATCTTAGAAAGTCATAATAAATCTCAAAAGTTAAATACATCGTGATTTGTTACGGGCGATTTGTACGAAGTCAAAACCAATTAAAATTGAGCAAAATTGATCCTGAGTTAAAGTGAGTTATTTTGCGTAAAATAGATTGATTGGGATTTGGGACGAGAGATATTGTAATTAAATAATATTTAAAATATAACGATTTAAAGTTGATGTGATGTAAAAGTATAAGACAAATAATAAAAGTTATAGATATTTAAAAATAAATGTGTATGAGAGATATTATTGATTTTTTTTAATTATATTGGTATTATTAAGGATAGTGACGTTAAATTTGATCATTAGTTAAAGTGAGTAAAAAAAAAAAAAACAATCCAATCAAAATTGACTTTGATAAGTTTTTTCTCCTTACCTATCATCCTAACGATTTTTTGAAATCTGAAAATAAATACCTTTTGATTTTCAATAGTGTTAAAAAATCCAAATTAACTACATAAAGATTCTTAAAGTTTCACCAAATCCATAAAAATCTCAAATAAATACACTCATTGAAGGCTATGTTTGGTAATTAAATAAGCTAACTTATAGTTTATTTGATTAGTTTATAAGTTTCCTGTATTAAAATAAACTTCGTTTGGTAGAACGATCTTTTTTTTTAAAAAGCTCGAGCTTATCACATAAGTTTATTTGAATAACTTTTCACATAAGCTAATTGAAATTTTTATTTCAACTAGCTTACTAGTTAATTTTACCACACTTTTATCATATAACCTAACTTTCGAACTATGAATAATAAACTATAAGTTCGAACATGTGTAAATTAGCTTATCAGCTATTAGCTACCATTTACTTCTACCAAATATAGAAGTTACAAATTAAAGAAAAATTAGGATAAGTGATATTATATTATACATTATTTTTTTATTTTTTTTTGTTGCAGATATTATATTATACTTGAGAAAACTGAAAAACGCCTCTAGCGCGGGACGTACATTTTATTTTTATTTTAAATCCAATAAATAAATAAAATAAACCCACACGCCATTTTGCTTTCACGAAGAAATTCAGTTTTGTCACGTCTCGTCATCGCTCAGCAGAAACTGCACAAACGGCGAAGGCAGTTTTTTTCAATCTGTTATAGAGAGAGAGAGAGTGGCCGCCAGAGAGGTAAATTTGAATCAAATCAATTCCAGTAACGTAATTTTTGCAGAATTCACTGTCGCACGCACACATACAAGTTAGCGAAGATGTTTCTGTATGTATATGTGTGTGTATTGCTGAAATCAGCTAAATGGTTGTGTTTGAAATGAAGGTTCGCGCATGTTTTTAGTGATTTTTCGCTGACTTCCTATGCGCAGGCACGAATTTGTGATGAATTTCTGTGTTTGGACGCTGCTCTTCGCCGTTTTTCTCTTCGGCAGCTCATCGGCTCTGAAGGTAGTTGAAAAATACGTCGAATTTCATTTTCCTGTTCGTCTCTCTCTCTCTCTCTCTCTCTCTCTGAGTGCGTGTTTGTGTGTGTGTCGATTTTTGTTTGAATTTTTTGGTTTTCTGTTTACTGCTTCTTTTTGAACAGTTACAGCAAGGACAAATTTGCATCGCAAACAGTAACTGTAACTCGGGGCTGCACTGTGAGACGTGCATTGCGAACGGCAATGTCAGGCCGCGGTGTACTCGGATTCAGCCTATCAGTCCTCTTTCCAAGGTTCGTCCGCTGTGAATAATTTGGCGTAGTTTTGGTTTGATAAATGTTCTTGGGAATTTTTTCTGTACCACATTCTCTAGCGTTTGTTTTGTATTAATCGAGCATTATATTGCATTTGATGTCATAAAATTCTTATATTTTGTTTGACATAAATTATTCACAGTTGACAATTGAATTGAATGATTAGGTGGCTTGGTTAACCACACCAAGTTATATGGGTGCAGAGAGGGCTAATGTATTGTTTGGTATTTCTGATCTTTTTTATTCATAATGATGAGTCTCAGGTGAACGGATTGCCGTTCAATCGGTACTCATGGTTAACCACACACAATGCATTTGCTCGATTGGGAGCGAAATCGGCAACTGGAGGCATCATTTTAACTCCAGAGAATCAGCAGGACTCTATTACTGATCAACTCCACGTAAAGCATTTTATTCTCTTATGTGTTCTCCCTGCATTATTTTACATATATCAGTGTGTGTGTTAATATGCTGCCATGAAAATGACAGTTTTTGAAGCAACTTTTGTGAAAGTGGTTGACGAATGTGCATGAAATTCGTCATCTATCTGTTGTTATTAAATTATTGCCCAATGATGCTTAATGAATGAGAATGACTGTTGGATGAGTGAACATTCTACACTTAATATTTAATAGTGTTTTTCTTCTTTTGACTTTAATAATAACGAATTGAGCCTTTGACCAGTTCAAAGACAATTTGTTTTAGAATGACTTGTTTCACAGGGTGACTATGCTGCAAGTGGTTTTAAAAAAGTATTTGTTGTTTTCTGATACTAGAAAGGGAAAAGCAGGGGCGGGATTAAGAACTTCATGAGGATATCATAAATATGTTCACGATTAATAAAGCAATCATGTGAAGTTTTAACAGGGTTTAAAATTATATTATTCCTCGAGAGTGACTGCTATGGCAGCTTTGATATGAATTTATTAAGTCTGGAAACTCTCCATGCTCATACTTTATATTGTAGTGCAAGATCAAGTTAGCACAAGAAAATTATTATTCAGTTAATTTAAGTTCAAGAATTTATGCACTTTACTTGCACATTATCCAAATTTCATAAAGACACTGACAAAATCTCAAATCCATCTTGAATGATAGAGCTGGGCGCATGCCATTGCTTGTTGTAAAGTTGCTGAAGCTTTCAAGTAAAGCCCAAGGTTTCTTCTGCAAAAAAAACAAAAAAGAAAACACCTAGTACTCTTGCCTTGTAGAATTAAATTGCTTGATTTATGATATAAGACTTGGTTACGTTGAAGCAATATATAAGAGAATAGGCATGGGACCCACTTTTGTTAGCTAGAATGCACCAATGTCATTGGTTCTACTGCTATTGAGAATGAGCCTTTTGCCTAAAGCATTGTGAGCATACTTGGAAAGTGCTGGAAATTTGAATGACCCAAATGAGGAAACGAGCAATCTAGTTTCTAATTATTCCATATCCAAAATTCTATTTGATATCACACTAGGAAACTAAAAGAGCTTTGCTTAAATATTCTATAAGTTACAGATTTTTCTGATTGAATGTACTAGTTAATCTTGTTTTCCTAGTAATTATGTTAACTTGACACAACTTATGGCAGCAGGTGAACTGTATGATTTTCACATTAAACTTATCCTTATAATTTAATTGTATAAATCAGTTTCATTTGACTGATATTGTCAATCAATCGAGGATTCTTGGAGTTCGAGGTGATTCTCTGTCATAGGAAATGTACGTCATTTATCATTCGATTCTTTTGATGGTTTCTGTTGGACATATACATTGCAGAATGGGGTCAGAGGGTTGATGCTCGATATGTATGACTTCCAAAATGATATCTGGCTGTGCCACTCATTTGGGGGAATTTGCTACAACTACACAGCTTTTGTAAGTGTGTCAATGGTGTTACAAACGATATTTTACAACCTTCCCATTTCACAAAACAGGATCCTTTTTTTTTGTTTTTGTCAGGTTGGAACCTAAAATTACTATACAAACAAGTCACCCCACTCATTCAAATTCAATTATGATTGTCGTGCTACTTTGTCGCTTGCAATATTTGATTTCTAACCTGTTGAAATTCCTCTATCCAGCAACCGGCCATAAATGTTCTGAAGGAGGTACAACAGTTTCTCGAGTCATATCCTACTGAAATAGTCACCATAATCATCGAGGACTATGTTGCCTCTCCCAACGGCCTTACCAAGGTTTTCAATGCTTCTGGGCTGAGGAAATTCTGGTTCCCAGTATCTCGAATGCCGAAAAATGGTGGAGAATGGCCGACAGTCGACGATATGGTCAGGCAGAACCAACGTCTAGTAGTCTTCACTTTGAAAGCTGCTAAAGAGTCCTCAGAAGGCATTGCCTATGAATGGAAATACTTAGTAGAAAATCAGTGTGAGTGGCCAAATTGCACAAAGAAGTTCAAATATATTAAATATCAAGTTGGTAAGGAGACAAAACAAAGTTTATTGATTGGTTGGAAATCTTTGCAGATGGAAATGGTGGAATGGTAGAAGGATCTTGTCCGAACCGTGCAGAATCACATGCCATGAATGAAAAATCAAAGTCTCTTGTTCTGATGAACTATTTTCCAGATGCTCCGGATATGGCAACAGCCTGCAAACACAATTCAGCCCCTCTGATTAGCATGATGAACACATGCTACCAAGCAGCTGGGCAAAGGTGGCCCAATTTTATCGCGGTTGATTATTACAAGGTATTTTCTTCGTCTGATTCAGGAAATTTCACATGATACCAACAATTTAAAATAGTTGATCCCTTTTTCTTTTTTTTGGTTGAGAAGTACTAAATCAATGTAAGCTTTTGCAGAGAAGTGATGGGGGTGGAGCACCCGAAGCAGTAGATATGGCAAATGGTCAACTTGTGTGCGGCTGCAAAACTATATCCTCTTGCCAGGTTTGGAATTTTTTTTCCTATTTCATATTTCTTATAAATGTTCTTTCGTTCATTTTACTCAGTTATCTTTAAAATCACCCTACCCCATCAACATTTGTGTTCTTTTTCACTAAATGTACCCTCAAGAGCAAGTATTTGTGAGGTAAATAGTTCATAAAAAAATAGGACTTAGGCCTCATCCGAGTTGACAATATTTCAAGTTAGAGAGTAAATGTTCGATTAATGGTGTCGTGACAGATTCGTTTGATTTACTACATGTTACCGTTTTGCTCCAAAGGTTTGTTCTCGTATAATGCAGGAAAATGCAACCTTTGGAGCATGTGAAATACGTCAGACAGGTGATAATCCAAAAGGGCCAGTCGCAAAACTTCCGAAGTCCGGAACATCTGACAGCAGATTCTTTCAATTGCGATTGATGCTCGGTTTACTGTTTACATCAATACTGGCCTTGTGAATTCCTATTATCCAGGTTCTGAAACTGTTCGTCTAGTTTCTCTCTGTTTTTTCTTCTTTCTTTTTGTTTGTTTGTTTTCGTTAAGGATCACGAAAAGATCGGTGTAATATGGCAATATGGCATCTGTCTGAGTTGGGGCTGGTGAACTTAATTGAATTAGAACTGTCTTTCTATGAAATGTTAATACTAAGTTTTAGAGGTTAAAAGGCTCACTGAAGAAGTTGTTTCCTCTGCAACACAATTTCTGAATGGTGAAATTTTCTTTGCATTTGAGGAGAAAAAAATGGTGAAAATGATTGAAATTGCTTCATCTTCGGAGAGGGTTAAACAAACAGTCAGTTGGGTCGACTCGTTATGCACTTTTTACGTAAATACATACTTATTATGTGAAATATCATATTTTTATTTGTTTTTTTTAGAGCATGATATCATTTAAAAATATGCATATTTGCTAAAAAGTTATGACTATCTCATCTCTATACTTCACTAACAACATCCTTAATAAAAATAATCAGGATATTATTATTATGCATATCTTCACTATTTTAGGGCTTTCCTCCGTTGTGCTCTAGCTTACAAAACGAAAATTTGGGCCTCATTGGTTGGGTGTAAGTTATCTGATAATATAAAGCCTGCTGTGTTAATTCTGGAACCAAAATGTATAGTAGCCTAACAAGTCCTTATTTGATTCCGCAAGAGCCCAATATATAAGTGGGCCTTCATGCCTCTACCCGATAACAGAAGTGAAAATTCGGGTATTTTACATTTTTATTACACTTCATAAATCAGTTATAAAACATATATATACCATTCATAAATCAATTATAAAAGAAAATAATGCAATTTCAAAAGTAATGGTAAAAATAAACCAAACATAAATAAAAAATAATATATTTGAAATTAAAATAAAACTTCATAAATATAAAAATAATGAGATTTGAAGGTAAATAGTATAATTTTTTCAAATTCTATATTCGATAACCACTATAAGTTAATATATATTTAGTAAAATTATGAAAGTTTTGCTTGGTAGGACTTTTTCTATTTAAAAAACTCGATCTCATCTTAAATGCTCATCGAATTATCATTTTAAAAAAACTATTAAATACTGTTATTATGTTAGCCATGTTTTAACTTTTAAGTCATCTACCACAAGCTATTTCGAAATTAACCAAGATATGAACTAGCTTTTCTGTTTTATACTTTTATCTACCATAGATACCCTTTATCCAGTCATAATAAATTAATCATGTATGACCTATTCTCTTATCCATGCCTTTTGTGTATTAACTTTATTAATTATAACATGCCAAATTTTCACCAGTCCATAAATGGTAAACGGGTTATTAAATAGTTCAACTTGTGTTATACATTATATTATATCAACGCTATAGATGCAACTCAATAAAGCTTCAAGGCAACATTAGACAAGAACAAATTTACTGAAACAATCAAGAAAGTACAATTTGACTAAGGTTTTTATAATTGTAAATGAGCAGGGCTCAAAGCTCTGCAGCACAGAAAAGGTGTTAAAAAAATTTCAATTAATTGTAAATGTCGCACCTGCGGCGAACTCAATTTTAACCCTCCAAACTAAGCACAATTATCGAAGCTAATTGCTTCCGTAATTCAACCAAAACTATTCACTTTTCAGTATTAAAATTTGAAAATATGTTAGAAATCCTACTTTTTGGTAGGTGAATACGCGGCAGCGAATATGCTGACACGTGAGATATGCAGCAAAAATATAGAGGTAACATTAAACTACTGTATCAAGTTGTAATTTATACCGGATAATAACCTACTAAACTTACTTATATGAGCATGAGATTTCAACAATTAATTGAACTTATTTATTAAACAAACCTAGCTTGTTTCTAAATATCTTTTTTTTATTTATTTAGTTGAGACCTCATTTAAAATTTTAGATTTATTAAATGAGTCGAACCGAGCTAAATCGTTTATTCGACGAGCATGAGCTCGAACATGAGTTAATCGACTCAAATAATAACTCTATGTATTCCGCTATTAAAATAAATATATTACGAGTGAATATTTTTGTCTAAACAAAATTATATTTTGTAGTCTTTCCTACAAATAATAATAAAAAAAATGATTTTAATATCATAGCAATTCTTAAAAATTGTCATGAATGGATATTTATGATACGTTTGTCACCACATGCTCGACATGTAGCCATTATTATTCAATATAATAAGAAGAATCAAATACTCCATTTTATAGGATATGTCACCAAGTATTTTAATTTCTGAAGTAGATAATATCATAATAATGTGGATGCAGAGAACTCAATAAAGCAAATATTCAGTCTTTCGTGCAATTATGTTGACCATAAAATATATAATTATATATCCACTTAAAGAAGGGGACGACTTTTGTGGGAGTACGTACTAATTGTTTTTTATGCGAGCAACACTCCAAACAAAAATAAACTATTATTATTTAAATTCAATTATTAAATTAAAAATCAGTATCTAACTGAGAAAATGCACTTTTATTATTTGAATTCAATTAATTTAAATAGCTGTATCTGTACGCAAAATGTCTTTTAACAATTTTTTATTTAAAAAAAAAAAAATAGTGCCAGTCCTGCCACCTACATTTATTATTATGAAATTAAAGACCACACGGGCACACCTCAAGCAGTAGTTTCAAGTCACTATCGCAGATTTTGACTGTATTTCATATGGATATACTTAATTAAACTAATGAAATGAGGAAGTACACTAGATTTGCTGAAATATATTATTAATATTTTATTATCAAATATTTTAAGTAAAATATTGAAGTAATAAAGTAAATATATTAGTTGATTTATGCAAAGTGTCTAATAGTCTATAAAGAAGGGAGTTCAACTTCAAACAGAATAACTAAAAATTATTTTGTAAGACCAAAATATAAACATAATTGATAAAAATATTTTAATACATTTTTTCTGTTATTTACTTCTTTTTTTTGTGTATTTGGTCTCAGGCTTAGTCTGGGCGCGCATGCCAAAAGGGTTTGATTAATTGTACAATGCAAACTTGACTCGTGAATACTGAATAGAGAGATCCACTTATTTCGGTTTTTCCAATCCTTTCTACTTTGACTGCATCAATTGCAATTCATGCGCTTTGACCTTAATTGGACATGTTTTTCAACAAAATAATTAATTGAACCAATTCATGGTGATTGGTGAGAGATATTATTTCTAAATTNTATAACGTTATACGTCATGGGTGAAGGAATTTATATATAAATACGATTCAAACATTGTTGTTCACGAATTCGATTCAACTTGTTAAAGCTCGGGTACAATTTGTTTTTTTTACTTACAGACAAAGACAAATTCAAGCAGCTAATCAAACTTGTTTATATTAATTGAGCCAAGTCGAGCTGCTTGTTTAAGAGTAGCTTATCTTTTAAGGTTCATTTTTTTTTTTTTATAAATTTTAAATGAAATGGTCGAGTAAAACGCGTTTTCGGACAAACATTAATTTTGTTGTCTTGTTTAATATTTTGGATTTATTAAACGAGTCGAGCCTTTTAGCTTTCAAGAGCTTAAACAAACACAGCTTAAGTCGTTCCATTTGTTCGTTTATTAAAGGAGTCGAGCTGAGCTTAAACAAACATAGTTAATTTCCAACTTTACATATTAACTTGTTATAGTCCTTCAATGGACGTTAGTATAAAGGAAGCTAGTCAACAAGTCAATTGCACTTTGCTTCGCAAAGACTCCATTTTTGCAATGAGAATCCCTCATAAATAATCAGATGAATATGGTTATGATTGTTAAACCAAGGAAAGTACCTTAAAGGTGGGGAAGTAACAGTAAACAAAAAAAATGTATCTCTTTCATATCATGAGAGTTTAAGGGTAGTGTAAAATTTAATCCAACTTTGGTTTTCTTTATCCTCTACGAATCATTATCGTGAACCGTGTTCCCTATAAAAAGATTGTTCTTTTGAGGAAAAAAAATCATATTTGTCCTCAATTTAATTTGCTTTTATTCGCTTTAGGCCTCACTTTTCTGAATTTTATAAATAAAATTGATTCCTCTTGACCAATTTTCTACTGCAAAATCCTGAAAGTAATTATATTTTTGTATTCACTTTCAAAAAGTCCAGATTATAACATCAATATATATTATTGCACTTGTACTGGTCTTTGAGGCTATATTGTAGGTTGAAAGTTGATTATAACATAACACCAAAATGTGTGAAAATGAGTTGACTGAACGCAGTTGGTAACTGCAGGTAATAATCATATTAAAATTATTTATGTAGTTAATTTATAATTTAATGGTATTTGAATAAGTTACTACTCAAAAGTCTTTACTATAGAGTGGTAAATTTCAAAACCGTTTTCGACAAAAATTAATCTGTCTGAAAAATGTCAGCCATACATCTCGTATTTAAACGTATTAAAAAAAAAAACAAAAAAAACACAATGATGTTCCTGTTTTAAAATCTATTTGGGATCATGTCTTCTTATTAGGACTATATATTTTCCGTTGATTATTATTGAAACGTATATAATTGAGATGTTATGATGAATATATGTCCATCATCCAACGGAATTAAAAAGATTTTGGAAAATTTTGGTACAGAAAATTTCAACCCAATATATTCATGCATAGTGGGTGAATGAACATGCATGTATTAACTACTAGGAATAATAAAATGCGTAATTAATTAACGCTTTAAATTCATAATTATGATTATAGAGATAATATTATATTCAATTGGTTCAACATAATTCGAGTAATATTAGAAATTAATGATCAATTATATATCTAGACATTCCAACCCTTTTAATAATGGTAGATTCGATCCTACCCACGTATTTTGACTGTCTGATTAATATGTGTGAAGTGTGATCAATGGTTAAAATAATGTGGTAGTGCCCACTGTAGAGTGATATACACCTCTTTTACTTCTCATCATCTTTTAAGTATTTATTGGCTCGTGCATGTGCATTTATACTGCTTTTTACATAAATTAGGTGTAATGGCTAATGAGCTTTTAAGGGAGTGGAAAATAAACAAATACTATTCCCTAAAATGAGTAGGTTGATTATCTGTAATGACTAGAAAAAGTCCGACTACATGTTGATTCTATCATAATTACTGTTGGAATAGGCTGCAAAAGATGTCATTAAACTATAAGGGATAATTAAAAAAGCACCAGATTTTGGTCAGTTATATAAAATTTTATCGTAATTTATACCATACTTATTCTTGATTTGTGTGTAAATGGAAGAAAAATAAAATGAGAAACACCATATATTAATATAAAGTATAAACACACACACCCAAATGTTTATGGTTATTATCCACAAGAGAAAAATGTTGGGGGCCCAAATACAGTACTACTATATATAATTACATAATTTTTCGAATATAATTGTTAAATTTTCGCATTAGCTAGGCAATTTTGGATGTCATTTTTTATTGTTTCGCAATTACATTTGGCGACTCGGAGTTGTCTATGTAAATTTAAACTTTTTATCAATGTCATTTTTAAAATTATAAAATTAGTAAATTTTAAATTATTAATATATTTTTAAATTTAAATAATTTATTTTATTCATAATATATTTTTCATATATAAATTGATCATGCATAATTCATATATAAAATGTTATATTTACTTTTATAAAGAGAAGTTAAATTATCTAATCAATTTTAATTAAAAAAATAGTAGTATTATTACTTGTGCGTTTGAAAAATTAGAATAATATAAAATGAGTGTTGACTGTCATTTAGAAAAATAAAAATAAATTATTTTAAAATTTACTTAAAAATTTAAAAATATAAAATTTTTAATTAATAAACATTAATATTAATATATAAAGGTAGGGAGAAAGATGTGTAGGCTGTCCCCGCACGTTTTCTCCTACCTTTGACTACAGCTCCCACTGTCACGAAATTACCATAAACCCCCTGCTACTGCTATCTGTGCCTCATCAATTTAATACTTACATACTTTTTGGGCGTCGTTGACCGTTCTTGATCTTGATGTTTCCTTACACGTACCTTAATTATGCATCTAAATACATTTATTAATTTGCAGCTAAATTTGAAAATATATATATATCTATGAAATACACAAAAAAATGACTGACTAATCTCAACAACTTCAAAATTAAAAAATTCAGTTTAAAAATAATTAAATAGTTTACTTGCAAAATATGCCACGATCGACCATGAAACTAACAACAATTAATTTGTTCATTAGTTACGTTAGGCGGACTGACATTATTAAACTTAATGGTCTTTCAAGTATTTGCAAACACTTTCTTAAAATGTTGGACAGTTGTCATGCACTTCTCTTAGCTCAATCACTTGCATTGCATTGATCTCCAAGATTTGTTTTCCCTACAATTGCTAATAATTACTAAAGCCACCATTGGATA